TTCTTCGAGCTTTATTAGCGGTTTGCAAACCAGCTGTAAGTGGTAACACCGCCCCTACGTCAAAGAGGGTGCAGAGTCACAAATATCATGAACTCATCAAGTCAGTCCAACGTCTCCTAAGGCCTGTTCAGTGTTTTTCTGAATGTATTGTGGTGTTTGTAGAGAGTGATGTAACAGCTGTTTGAGGTGAAAACAAAAGTCTCTCTCTGTAGGGATCATTTGTGTCATGACGTCAAACACTTATAATAACAACATGAGCCTGTGAGGGACAAAAAACTACTTTGAGTGGACACAGTCTGTTTACCTGCTGCTGCAGTCAGACGTCACAGCCCTGACAGAAACGTGCTCAAACTAGGATCAATATTGGAGATGCTTTTGAAAAATGGAGAGAGGTTAGAATACAGAAAGGTTTACAGACCGATGCAGAGCTGGATAAACACTGAAGCTTCAGTGTCCACCACATGGCAACCTGCATGAGCATGGACTCTAGAGAGGAGGGGGGAGACAGCTCTCTATGATGTTTAGTAGTTTAGATGTAATTTGGACTGCAGTACCCATTTTAAACACTAGGTGTCAGGGTTACATATTGCTCTGATTGCTCCATGTCATCATATTTTCTTTAACAACCTGTTTGGATTCTTTCTCGATCTTACACTCGTGCGTACTTCACTGTTGGATACGTTTCCTTGTGCATGCTTCCTTTCTTTGTGGTTCATGTTGGCAAAAGTTTCCGAAAAAACGTCCCGTTTTCTACCAAGCGGTCCGGGTCAGTTCGGTTCTCTACCGTACACATTCATGGCGCTTCCACTCTCAGAAGTTGGGGATGGTACCAAGATAACCGATCCAACCCTAAAGGGTGGAGTTAGACACACTGCAGTCTTGCCCGATTGGTTGAAAAAAATCTCTTTCCGTGCAACAGCGGTAATAAAGGACAAACAAAAAATGCCATGTTCAAAGATCCCGAAGATTTGGAGAAAGTCATTTCAAGAATGTTTTGTTTTTTGCGACTGTTGTCAGCGTGTAGCTCCGCCCCTCTGACCACCTCTGAGATACAGACCTTGGAGGGAATCATTGATCTTTGTTGACTTTCTTCTTTGTTGAATTTATTGGCGGTCTACACAGTGTTGTGACTCGCAATACTATGTATGTAGTGATGTGTAAGGGAACAGTTTGCTGTGGAAACGCAAGCAAGACCAAACTGTACCAAACCAAACCGGACTGCTTGGTGGAAACCGGGCTTTTAACTGACCCGTGTAACAGTTGAAGACAAAGAGCTGCACAAACTATAAACTCTTTTTCAAATTTTCTCTGAAGCTTCAAAGACAAATCATCAGCAAGATTTAAAAATAGAAGCCTGATCACAGAAACACCTCTTAATTTTACACAACATGCAGGAAACAGAACAGAAGGACAGAACCCAGAGCTCATGTGATGGACATCTGACGTCTTCTTCTTCTTTTAGAAATATCTTCTCTCTGGAAAGAGGAGACAAACATGCTGGTGTTATCAAGCTGAAACCTCAGATGTTGAAAAATGAAGCCGATGCTGAAGTGTAAAACCCTGCAGTTTCTCGAGTGTCCACTAGAGTCTGGCTGCAGAAACACAGGAAGTCACATACACACCCATTCTAAAAAGCCTGTTTTTAAAACAGAGATTAACATGTTTACAGCCTGGTTCAAAAAACCAAACAGGTCTGATTAGCTCATGTCTCGATCGGCACACACTGTACGGGGGTGAATGTTTTGATGACTCATCCGTTTTGATTTGATGAAGGATAAGAGTTATTCACAATAAAGCGTGTAGCTGACCTGACAAACAGCCCTAAAAGCGTGAAAGGACCTCTAGAGTCTGTAAAGTCTGTAAAAATGTTTATTTCTGCTGTAAAGATGGACATTTTAACATAGGGCTCTATAGGGACTGACTCACTGCAGGAGACAGAACTGCAGCTGTAAAGATGGACATTTTTACATGGCACAGCACACACAGCATTGATAACTAAACTGTTTCTGCTCTCACTCGATCTCAGCTGTCGTCTGGTAATAGTGATTTTTAATAAAAAGCTGAAACAGAACCATCGATACTGATGTTGGTAGCAGTGGCTGTCTGACCTCTATCTACAGTACTTACCCTTGACCTTGAGGGACACTGTTTTGTCCCACAAGAGCAAGAGTACCTCCCATTATCTCGGGGGGTGGGGTCTTTCAGGGTCAGACTCAGATCTTACAGAGTCTGTAACAGGTTTTTCCTCATGGTTGTACGGTCTTGGTAGAGCTGTCCTTGTTGGTCGGGCTGGTCCTAGCCATCCTCAAACACGTGGACTATTGTGGTGATGTAAGTTGTTGTGTTGCAACAGCTCCACGTCACTGATGCATCCTGGGGCAGGTTAGCTGTTATTACCCACGGCAGCCTGACGGTCTTCTCCATCTGATCCACCTCCATGTCCCCACTGGAGGCTGAGAAGACAACACACAACATGAACAGAGAGTACAAACGTCAACGCCAAAAACAAACATTTGACAAGAAGCCGCACTTCCTTCTGAGCCAGGATGTAGCCCTCCCTGCGGACGGTGCAGATACATTTTCCGCTGTCGCTTTTGCCTGAGTTACGGATGGTCACACTGAGGTCTTTGGATCGCAGCGGGTCACTGTTCATCTCTGTGTTGCCATGGTAACACTTGTCTTGTCTGTACGGCTGGTCCTGGCCGTTCTCGTACACATGGACCACCATGTCTCAAGGCTCTGAGCGCCTCCACCCCACTGCGGCGTCTGCAGGCAGCTGAGCGTTAGTTATGAAGGGCAGCATGAAGGTTTCAGCCCAATCCTCGACCTCCACCACCTCCGGGACCACTGAGGGGACGACAGACCACATCATGGCTTTATGGAAACTGTAAATTAGTAACACTTTGACGCCATTGATCCACATTTTATAATGCTCGTTACAGCTTCTGTTTCTCTGATCATGCAGTTTGTTGTTTCTCAAACTTTAGCGCCCTCTGCAGACTCATCCTTGGATTACTTCAACATATGTTTACCTCATGATCTGACACTTTGGGAGTCCAGCATTGTAACAGTGAGTTTAAAATGGGGATCAGCAGGACAGAGAGACTTTAACAATTTATGTTAAATTATGTATGACTTTAACATAAATTGTGTTAAACAGAATATTCCATATCTGCTCTTCATTCTTAGCTAACAACGCCGTCGTCAACAGTCTGCTCAGGCTTTTTAAAATCTTCAACACGCATTTACAAACAGGACAACAGTAGGTCATAGTTTAGCTTCTGCGTCTTCTGACGTCATTTAACTCCTTTTCAAAGACGATTCACTGATATTAGCATGCACCTGTTTTTATTATTGCATCTGAAATCTGACTCATCTTCCTTCTTTTTAGTTGCAAGTCGGAGTGTAAATGTGAGAGGAAGCCTTGGCTGGAAGTTCTTTATCACAAACCGCTAGAAGTCTGAAAAGTCAGTCCCCAGAGGACAGATCGCCACCAGACGAAGGGTGGAGCTGTCTCCCCCCGCCCCCTCCTCTCTAGAGTCCATGCTCATGCAGGTTGCCATGTGGTGGACACTGAAGCTTCAGTGTTTAGCCAGCTCTGCATCGGTCTGTAAACCTTTCTGTGTTCTAACCTCTCTCCATTTTTCAAAAGCATCTCCAATATTGATCCTAGTTTGAGCATGTTTCTGCTCGTGGAGCTTATTAGAAACATGCAGAGGCTTTTTAGGTCGGGTACAATCACTTCTACCTGAACCACTTCTCTTGCCCGCTTCCATCGCTGCAACACCTGTTGGTTTGACCTGATAACTGCTCTCATATCTGGCAAATCGAGGGGCGTCCAAAACGTGCCTTAAAACTGCCTACCTTCTCTGGTCCAAACAAATCCAGAGCATTCAGGACCAGAATCTAAAGTTAGAAGGAGGACATACTGACTGCTGCATTGTTGTCAGAGAAGCCAGCACTTCAACATAGCATGTTTCCTTAATGTCTGATCATATAGTAAGCTCACTTTATCATTTCACTCACTACACATCTCACTGATTGGACCTTTAAAATGACTTTAACATCTAAACTGAATTGTGATTGCTTCCTTGTTTCTGTTTGAACAAGATGGAAATTAAAGAATACACTCATGGTCCTCTAAAGCAGAGATATTGGGAAAGTGTTTTCATGTCTTCATTCAATAGGAGAGAAAAGAGCTGAAACACAGTTGGCCTGCTCTGCCTGCGCATCTGTCTGACTTTTAGACAACTACAATCGTTAATAACTGATTATAACTCCGCTGAAACGATTTCAAATGTGTTCTCTACAGAAATATTGAGGTCACATTTGTTGAATTGTATCCACACATGTATACAGACAAAATAAACTTAAAATATTGTCATCTAAATGTTAAAAACAAGTCACGATTTAAATATTTAGCATCTAAAATCTTAGCTTATTATTCAGAAACGTGACCTGTGTTTATAACATTTAACATTTCCATTTGCTAGTCAAATGATCTTTGGTTCAATTTCACATATATAATAATAAATATGACAAAGTTCCCAAACATTACTCTAAATGTGATTCAATATATTTTAGAGCTAAATGAGGAGAAGACATGTTTTTAAGTTTACAATCAGTGCCCCACATGAACATGATGATTTAGTTCTGGGACTTCAGGGGCTCATCATCCTAAAGCTTTGGCGACCCTAAAGTCCAAAACAGTAAAAAGAAATATCTTGCTCACACGAAATATATATATTTTTTAATTTTCGGGGACTTCAGGGACTTAATACTTTTATATTTCCCAGAATTTTCGAGGGCTAGAAATTTCACTGAAGTGAAAGAAATTAACGTAAAACTGTGAGGCGTTTGCGGGCATAGTTCCCATATTTCCGACGGCATTGAAAGCATCATGAGATGCAGCGCTGCGGTCAGACAGACAGGCAGACTCCGTCAGACAGACAGACAGACATCACGGACACATCTGACAGTGCAGACCATCTCCGTGATTTACACGACCGCCTCGTTTCTTTTCTTCGGTGTTTTTCGGTAAATTAACGGTGAATCGCCGGTATGAACACGGAGGAGACGCAGGTGGAGCTGCAGGATGCGGGGAGCAGAGATGCGGAGCGCAGAGATGCGGAGCTGAAGGATGCGGAGGAGTCCCCCGCTCAGCCCCCCGCTCAGGATGCTGACGCCACGGAGGCCGATGTGAGCGAGGCGGACCTGGACCAGGAGGAGCAGGAGAAGCAGCCGATGACCGGAGCAGGAGAACGGGGAGAAGAGGCTCTGTCTGCCGGAGGGGAGGGGGAGGCGGCGGCGGAGAAAAACGGCGCCGTGAAGCTTAAGATCCCTGAAGAGGAGGAGGAGGAGGAGGAGGACCGGAAGGTGAAATTCACCGGGCTGAACAAGGAGGAGCTGCTGAGGGTGGCAGGGACCCCGGGGTGAGGAGGCCTTACTACACACGCACACAAACACACACACGCACACACACACACAAACACATGCAGAAATTACACACACACACACACACACACACACACACATGCAGAAATTACACACACACACACACACACACACACACACACACACGCACACACACACACGCACACTCAAACACATGCAGAAATTACACACACGCACACGCACACACACACAAACACACACGCACACACTCAAACACATGCAGAAATTACACACACACACACACACACACATGCAGGAATTACACACTTTAATCATCACAGTGTGTGAACTATCAGCTGAGCCTGACAGGGTGTGGCTCTAAAGAGAATCATTATTTAAAATAATATAAATATATAAACATATTTGAATAAATAGACCACACGTCCAGGAATAAGACAGGCCCCACTGAACACATTAACATGAACTAAACAGTGAACAATCGGATTCTACGGTGGCCCAGAAAGTCAAAAACATTTAATTAATGTGAAAATGTGTTTTTTTTTGCAGTCATTAGGGGCACCGTAGGTTTCTTTTGGTGCGTTCCATTTACGTTGGAACTCGGATGTTGGAGCTGGGAATGACGTCACCCCCAAGAAAAAACGCCTTCCAGTTACGAGTCTGCAACAAGTCGCACAACCAACAACATGGACGCCGCCAGGAGTACCTTTGTTGTGTTAGCTAACATCAGGAGATAACGACAGACTTCGTGATAGTTTGCACACAAAAATAACACGACAACATTTCCACACATAGAACTTACATGATGCTATCGTCCACTCGATATAACAGTTACAGCTCAAACGTTACTGTTGATGCACGGAGCAGCCATGTTGTTTTTTCTAACTCAGGCTGCTGAAGTTGCTCTGAGTTTCCAAGTCAGATTCCGACATCCTGATGACGTATCAGACCGTTAACTCAGAATTTCCGACATCTGAGCTCAAATGAAACGCACCATTAAATAAACCTTAATACATTTGCAATCTCTTTAATGTCCAGCAGGTGGCGTCTCCTCTCCAGCTCCTTCCTCTCATATGGTCCCTTCTGTTTCTAAAACTAAAGATGGGATGATGTACTTGTTAAAGTCTCAATTAGAGTCAAAGAGACCAGAAGAGGGGAGGAGTTAGGGCGGGGCTTCCTGTGATTGACAAGCCACTTCCATGGCGATGGATAAAAAATGTCGTCTTTAGTGTTCCGTTGTTCTTAAAGTCACACTGGAGACATGACGTCTTTGTTTTTATTGTCCGCACATTTCGTTTGAATCCTGTTTTAGCATCCGCTGTTACAATAACGTGCTAATAAAGGTCAGAGCTAGCTTAGCTGGTTACGTCCGAGGATGACCACTTTTGGTTCCAGTTTTGACCACAGTGTCCATGTTCCCTCTTCAGGTGGGTGCGGACCCGCTGGGCGCTGCTCGTGGTGTTCTGGCTCGGTTGGTTGGGGATGCTGGGCGGAGCTGTCCTCATCATCCTGCAGGCTCCTCGCTGCAGAGAGCTGCCCGCCACCAACTGGTGAACGAGGGCCCGCTGTATCAGATCGGAAACATCCAGGCCTTCACCGACGCCCGGGACCTGAAGGGTGAGAACATCCTGCAGACTCACATGGCTCACATGAGTCTACAATTAGTCAGCATTTTAGCATGTAGTCACTTCCTAGCTAGCCATAGATTTTAGAACGATTGCATTTCTAGTTACTTTTCAGATTTTGTTAAAGGAGCAGTATGTAACTCTGCCACCTAGTGTTTAAAATGGGTACTGCATTCCAAATTAAAAACATTGTAAAGCGCTGTCTCCCCCCGCCCCCTCCTCTCGAGAGTCGATGCTCACACAGGTTGCCATGTGGTGGACACTGAAGCTTCAGTGTTTAGCCAGCTCTGCATCGGTCTGTAAACCTTTCTGTGTTCTAACCTCTCTCCATTTTTCAAAAGCATCTCCAATATTGATCCTAGTTTGAGCACGTTTCTGCTCGTGGAGCTTATTAGAAACATGCAGAGGCTTTTTAGGTCGGGTACAATCACTTCTGTCTGAACCAGTTCTCTTGCCCGCTTCCATCACTGCAACACCTGTTGGTTTGACCTGATAACTGCTCTCATATCTGGCAAACCGATTGGCGTCCCAAACGGCCGTGTAATGTCTGATCATATAGTAAGGTCACTTTATCATTTCACTCACTACACATCTCACTGATTGGACCTTTAAAACAACTTTATACCAACACCCTGAACATGACATCAGAGGAAACGGTTCTGTCGTGTGAACTTTGGAGCATTGAGACTGAATCAGAGTCACTTTTACACATGAACAGAACGTCTTTGAAACACTGCTGACCACACGTCTGTTAGTTTAGCAGAACTGAAAATCAGACTGAACTCAAGCCCAGAGCTGATTCACACTTCTATATGTCACAGCATGCGACTGGGCCCCACGCCTGTAAGGGGCCCCAGGACTGACAAACAAACACACATCAA